AACGTTCAAAGTTGATTCTGTTCTAAAGAAAAAATTCTCTAATGGATGTTACTGGTATAAGGTCAAATGGGTTGGACTCCCCTCAAGGTTTAACAAGTGGATCTCCGAATCAGAAATTAACAATTATAAATGATACTGATTATAATTATAATAAAAACCCTGAATATGTTCTATTCATAGCGCAGATTGTCATCATCGTAATAGTCATCCTCGTGGTATTATAAATTTGAGTTTAGGTATTGAAAGAGAATCACTTTGGATATCGCTAATGAGCAGTTGTCTTGGATATATTTTACCATCTCCTTTGTTCTAAACAAGAAAAGTTCAGATTCTAATTTATCTAAATGATTCCGCAAAATTTTGATATTATCCTGAGAAGTGATGCTTGTAAAGAGCTCTTTCCTGATAACTCTCCTGGGAGATTTAAAAACCAATTAGCTAAAAGACTGAATTTATCAGGCTCCTGGAAAGTTAGTCTAACTCAAATAGTTATCCCTATTACTTGGATATCAAAAAGAAATATTACGATTAGATTTGTTGATTCTACAACTCTTAAACCGTATAGTGTATTACCACCCTTAGAAACTGTTTTGATTGGAAAACAACGCTAGTGACCTCATAAAGCATCTTATATCTGCTGTCCAAGATGATATATTTGAAACCCAAATAGACATGTATTTCAATCCAAATGGCAAAACAATAGCTATATCACCAGGCTTGATACCTTTACAAGATGGCACCAAAGTTAAAATACTTCCAGTTTTCGACGAAGAAACGAACAAGGTGTTAGGTTTACCTCCTCTTATGGTAAATCAACATACGATCGTAAGCCAACATCCAATTATACCTTTCTTTCAGAATGAAGTTTTAACTGTTGAAACTAACATAATAGAACCTATTTGTGTTGGTGGAGGAGAGAAACAAATTTTGAACTACGTGACAGCCCCTATTTCCTCTAAATTTGGAGAAAATCTTTTTATACAATTTGATAAAGAACAGGTTAGAAACGTAAAGATAACAGATTTAGAGGCAGTATCTATCAATATAAAGGATAATTCACGTGCAAACGCTTCATTTACAACAGGAACAACAATCGTTACACTTCATTTTCAACATGATGCGTATTGATAATCTTTTTGAGTACTATAAAAATCAAATCGCTAGGAAAGATGATAAACCAGCAAAAATTCAATCTAAAATAATCAAGTCTAGAAAGAAAAGAGCTCCTTCACAACCTGTTTCTCCTTATACTAATAAAAAGGTTATTAATAAACCTACTACTAAAAAAAGAACATTCAAGAAGAAACAACGGACTAGTAAACAACAAAGTAATAAAAAAACTACCACAAAAAAATCAGCAAAACTTTCTAGACCAAAAGTGAAAAATCGAAAAGAACAACTTTAAATTTATTGACAATGTCATCAACTAAGTTACATGAAATGTTTCTTCTTCCCGAGTTGGACTTATTCAAATTACCTCCGATAACAAATCAGATTGAAAATCATCCCAAATCTCTTTAGACCTCTAGCAGTTATTAACGCTGAAAGTCCGATAGAATTTTATATTACAGGAAACGACGACGAATTGATTTCGTTAGCTAGAACTCGTTTATATCTAAAATTCAACGTTAAATTTAAACCTGTAGGAAAAGAAAAGCCTACTGAAGCTCAATGGAAAAACTTAGAGCTTTGTCAAAACGCTCTTAATGGTATTTTCCGAGATGTAGAAGTCTCAATTGGAGACAAACAAGTATCAACATCATGTTCAACATTCAGCTATATCAGTTTTTTCATACTTTGTTAAATAAAAGCTATTATGATAAACTAGGATCAGGAAGAGCTGCGTATTGGTTTGAAAACTCCGCTTCTATTACTGATAACGTATCAACATTTAGATCAGAACCGATAAGACCTATCTTTACTGAAGCTAACTCTAAAGGGGATGAAGAGGACAGGTAGTGGAGATAATTGGTGCTCTAGATTTCGATTTAGCAACCCAGTATAGACCACTACCGGGATCAATTCAATCCGTATAAACTTTATCAACAAAAGTCTGATTTTATTTTTATACACAAGATTCGGCTTTATTCAAACCTGAATTGGCTCTCAAGGATGCTTATCTTTCTGTACATAAATATAAATGACACCACTTATGCAATCTGCTCTTAAAATGCCTTGAAATCAAGTCCTTTAAAGTACCCGATTACTAGAAGAGTAAAGTATTTCACTATACATAGTACTTCACCGAGTGGTATCATCGACAATGCTATAGTAGGGCAAATACCTAGACGATGCTTTGCAGCTTTCATGGATAATACCAGTTTTGAAGGAAGTTTATCTTCGAGCCCTTATCGCTTCAAGCATTTTAACCTCATAAAATGTCTTGTTCTGTAAATGGTGAGCAATATCCTAGCAGACCTATTGAGACAGACTTCAGCTCGTTTTGTTGCATGACCGCTTTCAGAGGAGTCCATGATGTTCTCGGAGATTCAAACAATTTTAATTACGATTTTGATACATACAAAGATAACTTCCCTTAATAGCTTTCGATTTTCTCCTGATAATGCTCCTGGTAAATACGGGTACATAAACACACCCAAATACGGTACGATGAGAGTTGAATTCAATTCAAATCAGCTCTCACTTCAGCTACTCTCCTTCTTTTCTGCAGTATGATAATATCATTCAAATAGACAACGTTGGTACTGTAACCACTGATTATAATTAATATTCTAAACTATATAACCACCCTATGTAACCTTAATTTTCCGTTTTAATTAAATTCTTTTCATAATGACTACTATGGGTTGTTAATTTTATTCATTTACGCGTTGGCTATATTGCTAATCAAAATCTTGAGGCTTTTAATTACAATTTTAATTGGTTTAATTTGTGACGATTAACTCTTCTGTTTTTATTAATTGTTGATACTAATTAATATAAACTAACGCCTCAATTTTAATTAATTAACAGGAAGCTTGACGACGTCGCCCACGGGGCGGAGCGTCGTCAAGCTCTCTACTAATAATGATTATTAGATATATAATTTATCAGGATGAATTGATTGTTATAATGATTAAGGTTTCACTTTCATGGATTTTTGCTCAATGATTAACAAAAGGTGATCAGTTGATTTAAAAGTAAATAAACTCTATTTACCTTGGTTCCAATTCTTTGTGGGTTATCCTTTAATCTGATCCTTTTTCAGTGGATTCAATAAAAAGCATCCTGAAGATGATGATGATGCTATTTGAAAGTACATTCAACTTTATTCAGGTCATCTGGAGATGTATATAACTTTCACAGTCCATTTCTATTATAACAATAATAAGTGATGAGGATACTGAGAGAGTGATGATGATGCTGAGGAGGAGGAGGGTGAACAAGAGGAGACTTTGACATGGGGAAGGGACAAAAAATATATAAGATTAAGGATAATAATTCCTGAGGCTGAATAGTCAATGAAAAACTTGATCCATGTATTGAAAATGATTCTTGAGCCTGAAAATGATGATCATCAGAGTCATTTGTAACCATCCAACTAACACTGTTGAAAGTAAATTGCAGGAAGTTGATTGACTTTGCATTGTAATTTTCACTTTCATCATCTAACCAAAAAAGTACAACAATCAAATCAGCAAACAATCAATAAATTGCTTCACAAATAGGGTAACGTTAATGTCTAATATTTTTTAATGGATTACAAATAAAGGGAAAGTGAATAAGTTAAATCAATTTATCATAATGTTGTAAGAAATTGTTGCTTTTTAAACAACAATTTAAATCTCACCCTTTTTTTTATTATATTGATTGTTGAATTATCATCATCATCATCATCATCATCATTACCATTATCAATTGATGATGTTGATTATCAATTGTTGATAAATTGCAAAATCATTTCCTTGCTGATGTTTGGATGTTTACAATTGAATCAATCGCAGATTAATCAAATTTAATTTCCTCATCTTCATCTCTCTGATTTTAATCCCAAATTTTCATCTCCCTAATCATATTAGTCTTAATCTTAACCTTCATCACCTTCATCATCATAATCATCAGTATGTTTGATTAAATCAATTGATTGGGCAAAAACCTTTATTGTTAACCTTTAATGCCCCAAGGGTATTAACTTATTCTGATTCCTATTTCATCATTTAAGACAGTTAATAATGTTTCACCATCTCTCTCAACAATAAGGTGATAAAAGTTAATTGAAAATCACAATCACAATCAATTGTTTGGTCAACTGTTATATTCAAATAGTAACTAATTAAATTGCTAATTATTGTTAATCAATTAGTTAAATTCATCATCAATGTAAATTTAAATATAAAGACGATGGGAAAATGAAACAGTTATCAAAGTTAATAATCAATGAATGATAAATGATAAATTATTAATAATGATAAATAAAAAGGTACATAGAAAATTTTTTACCGTTACAATTAAAATTCAAGGTTAATCATTAGTTAAACTTGACACTATCCAGGTAACAATCAAAAGCCTAACTATTGAAATGTAAAATAAAAAATTAACTAAACAATTAACATGAAAATAACAGTAATCATTATGTCAGGTCATGTTTTTGCTCAGGTAAATTGTGAACAATTGAAAAAAAAATAAAGCAAAATTAATAAGCATCACAATTAAAGATTATTGATTAACTGTAAACAAAGAATCAAATCTAAACAATGATCATCTTTAGTTATCAAATAGATTTTGCTTTCCAAAGATAATTATCATTTGGATGATGAAACCAACACTTTCTCCTCTAATTTAATCATCAATATTCCGACAACAAAACAAGATGATGATCAACATGTAATTCAAAAGATATTATCAGTTTTGTTTTTTCCATATCAAAGATGATTGACATTGAAAATTGATTCTATTTCAAGGATCAAGTCTATCACATGGTTCCTTGGTTACCTTGAATCAGCTGAGAGGGAGAGAAAGAGAGAGAGAGAGAGCAATAGATAGAGAGAAAGAGAGAGAGAGAGGATGATGAGTATCGGGTGAGATTTGGATTCAGTTCCCATGTGAGTCTCATTGAGTTAACTTGAACCATCGAGTTATTAACTTATTACCTTTTTTCTTGTTCGAGTTTAATTGTGACTCTTTTTTGTTTCATGTTAACCTTACGGTTAGTTTACATTTACATCGACAATCAACTTATCGGATTTAAATTTCTTTCTGTTTTCTAATTGTGATTAACTTAAATTACTGTGTTGAAATGGTTTTCATTTAATTTTGTTTTTTCTCCAACGTTTCATGTTAATCATTAGTTAATTGTGTTCTAACTCTTACCTATTCCACCTCCTCTCTCTCTCTCTCTTGTTGATCATCAATTGTTTTTCAATCACAATTTTCCTCTTAAATTATGATCCCTCTGTGATTATAATTGTCTATTTGATTGATTGATTGATTGATGTGTTAATTATTACAACGGCATCTTTTTCATCATTAGTGTTTTATTTTCGTTCAATATTATAAATCATCTTAATCAACAACAATTTTATTGATCATCTTTTAATTTATTAATTAATTGTCTCCATCTACTTGACAAAACTTAAGGTAAGACAAAGACTTTTTTTTTCATAGTTAATTGTAACTTTAATTGTCATTGATGAATCTTGATTAACATTGATTTATAATTAATTTTACAAGATAAGTTTTGTTCACAGTTTACTGAAAATGTTTGTTATTGATTATAATCAATTGATTAGTAAACACTTGAATATGTTGATGACTTGATTTTATATTAATTGTACCAATTAATTACATATTGATAATGATTAAGGGATTAACAATGATTGATAATCTTTGGTTAATTGTTGCAAACTGATTACAATTAAAACGTTGATGATTATTATCCAATATTAGAAAAGGTTAAACTTTAATTTAATTGTTAATTTCATTATCAACATTATCCCTTCAATTTACCAAGTTAATTTCCTTCCGTTGTAACTGAATTAAAATTTTGTTTTTTTCGTTGATTAGAAATGTTTTCATTGATCTGTTAATCTAAATTGAGTCACAATTAAATGAATAACATGAATTCCTTTTAATTGTTACCCATTTAGTTACAATTATCTCATCAACAATCAACTAGAAGAATAATAGTAATTTTGTTGATGGTAAAAAAAAAAGTTCCAAATTCATTGAGAAGATTTTTTATTTCTTCCATGTTGATGACTTTTTTTTTACCATGAAAGAGATACGATGATTTTCTGGTCGAGACTTTTACTCTCTCAAATGATAAATTGAATCGGAAGTTTATGTTGGAAGAGAAAATCTCATTGATTCAATGGAAAAGTTGTAAATTCTGTTGAAGGTTATCAAAAGTTTATCATTTCCTCTTTGACAAACTGACCATTCAAATGAAAAAGTAATTGACCCAATAAACTCATGCTGATTAAGATTCTAATAATTATCATGTTTTTTTTCTGTAACGAGAAAAAAAAATACGAATCAATAACTTAATGATCATTTGGTTATTTGTTAGAACCAGTTATTGATTAGTTAATTGTTTGCGACTGAAAAGGTTTCTCATTCATAATAATATCTTCTCATGGTTTCCAATCTCATTGTTTGTCAATAAGAAGTCAATTAAACCTTAAGATTAAAAACTGAATATCGTATTGATCAATATAATGAGTCGCCTGAATTACTAAATTCTTATAATAATCATGATTCTGATTCAGGGTAACCCTGTTTCTTGATGATTCTCTGAGTGAAACATGTTAACATTGAATAAAGAAAACGACAACAATCATTCATTCTCTCTCTCTCTCGTTCTCTTTCTCTCTCTCTCTCTCTTTAATATCATCATGGTAAACTAATCGATAAAATTCTAGATTCTTTCGATTCGATTGTAACTTGTGAACTACAATTATAAGTGCGATCATAATGGAAACAAGAAGATGGAAGTTTCAACGATTCTCAGCATACGATTGAAGCGTAACGAAGTTTATTGAAAAGAGAGAGAGAGAGAGTGAGTGAGAGGAGAAAATAACATTTCGATATAAAAGAAATCTTAGAATTGGATATAACAGTTTCGAGATGTTGGAGAAAAGAAAAAAAGTTCTAATATATTTTAGAGATATGAAACTTTAAAATTACTAATCTTTGAATTTAATATTCTTATTTAGACTTGTCGAGAGATGATGATATCATGGAATAATTTGAGAATACTGTAAAGAAAATTTCATCAAGTTTCTCTCTCTCTCTCTCATTTCATGAGTTCAGAACTTTTAGATTACTTAGAGGGAGAGAGAAAGACAATTTCGACAGATGAGTTCTTTGACTTTTCGATAGTTTCATAAATATAATCTTCTGAACTTTTTGTTTATTTCTATTCGAATCTGTTACATGTTAATCAGGAGAAAAAAAAAGGTTAACCCTTGTAGAAAATAAACTGAACTTTGATTTTCATGGAAATTATTCATTACCAAAAGTTCGAGATGATTGAAAATCCATTTGTCGAAATAGGAGAGAGAATCAAACACAACTGATCAATTCCATTAGAACGTGATTTGAATTTGGAATCGATATTTTATTCCAATCATGGCGATTTTTCAAGTTTCTTTCGTTCCAATGTGTTGATTGTAGTTAATACAAAAAATTCTCAGGGAGCAAACATGAGTATGAACTCGTTACTAAAACGCTGACGAAGGTAAAATATTCAATGATAAGTGTGAGATAAAAAAAATATCATGGAAAGAAAAAGAGAGAAAGTTCAGAATTTAATCCATTCGTTTAACATTCATCATGTAACAGAAGAAAAGAAAAACTTTTGAAAATTCTGACAGAGAACTATTCCTCTGGAAAATGATAGTAATCATGATAAGAATGTGATAGATTGTGATCTGATGAAGCTTATCAAATACAATGTAACATTGAAATGAAATTTAATCAATAATCAACAATGTTATCATGTACAAAAATTATATTCTTGAAGCATTTTCACCCAAATAAATTACTGAACAACATGATGCTGATAATGATGATCAACAGATAATAACGCTCAACAAAAGTTTCATTGTTTTCATAGTTTTCATTTCATTCAGGTAATGATAATTTGTCTTTAACATGGGATCATATTAATAGTTGTTATTACATAAGCTCCATGTTATTAGTTTTGTATTTTTGTTTTTCCATGTTTTTCCCTTGTACACCCAAAGACATGGGAAATTGCGACTGAATCAGAAGAAAGTTCCTTCCCAATTGAATATTGGAAAATGAGCATTTCCCTGTTTCTCTGTGTTTATATTTCACTTGATTTATTGTTGTTCTTGTATTCTGACGATAAATTGGAAATATAAAGTTCTTCATAGAATCCATTTCATGATAGAAAATAATGTCCCCATCAAGAATAGAAAGTATGATGTTTATGAACACGAATTTTCTGTCCACCGTGAGAAGGAATATTTTTCAAGAAAATGTTGTTCTCTTTTCTTTTGGATATTTCGATTCTTAACTTTGAAACTAGAATTCATGATTTCGAACAGGATAGAAAGTTCTGGTGGTTTCATATTCTGTGTGTAAATATGTGATAGTTTTTGTAGAAAAATTTGAATCAGAGTTAACCATGGTGTTCATGGTGGAAGAGAGAATGAAATTTTTGTGAGCTGAACTTTATGGAACTTTCTTATTTTTATGAATCAGTTTTATTATCTTGTGAGTCTCAGATTAGATGAGTAAGTCTTTTTATGTGGTTCGCTTTTTTATCTAGTTTCATTATGGGGCGAAAATTTTGATTTGATGAAATTTTCCACCCATTTTCAGGGTAGATGAAGTTCTGAACTGTTGTGAACAAAGGAATAAAGGAGAAAAGATTGAGAAAATAACAAGAGAAAATCTGTAGATATAACAAAGTGAGAACATATTGAGGTAGAAAAGAAAATGAGAAATTTTCTTTCGAAATGAGTTGAGATTATTTTCCTCCATGATTTGAGTTGTTTCATCTCATGGAAAAACATGAGAGAATGATGATTAAATTTATCAACTAAAAGAAGAAGAATATTAAATGGAATAACTTTAAAAAAAAAGATTCGAAATTCAGATTAACAATAATAAAATCCACAAAATGGATAAAAATTCATTGAGATACTTAGAAAGTTATTAGAATAAAAAACTTTATTGAATTTCCAAAGTCGCCATGAGGTTTAATCTCAGGCTATATGATAACTTTTCTTTAGATTTTGTGCTATTCTATTCTTAGTTTATCATGAACGAAATTCATCAATTATCTCATTCAATTTGACACAAGAAAGAAAGTAAAGAGAGAGAGAGAGAGACTAATGATTAATATCTCAGGTTACTATCAACTCGAACAATGAATTTAATGATAAGTTTTATCACATGATGATCTCCATCATCATCGCCATGATTATCACCATGTAACCAGAATCTTTTACCATGTAAATTGAAAAAAGGAAGGATTAAAACTCATCTTTCTCTTCCTGTAAATGTACAGAACTTTTTTGTTGAACATATTGATGGTGATGTTATTATTATCAAAATCGTAGCTGAGATAATCTCATCTTTATATTATATAAATACGTTATTATGACTACTTATTATTTCATCTTGTTTGAATACCACTCATGATGATGATTATGATGATGATGATCAGTTCTCGGTGGGCTTTGAAACCATGATATTAGATTGAATTTCTGGAATGAGAAACAGTTTTGTGAACAATGAACTGTCTGATGATGAGAAAAGAGTATGATGAAAATTCCCATGGTAACAATTGTTTTCACTCTATTTCTGTCATAAGCTTAAACCAAAGAGAGATAAAAGAAAAGGATGAAACTGATGATCACTGGATTAACCATGATAATAATGGAAATTGCATCCTCATCAGTGGAGTGTTTTTTACCCTGTTCTCAGATATTTCAAACATATTCTTTTCATAGAATCAACTACCTTGATCATTATATTACAATCAAGAAGATTATCATGTTACCCTGAATAAGATGGAAACACCAAAGAGAATGAGAACCGATTCAGATAATAATCTTGATTCATTGAATATTATTCATCATGATTACCATGTAATCGATTGACTTTCGCTTATCATCCGGAAGAAAAACAAAAAAATCTCTCAATTCGATGAATGAAAATTTCGTCTTTCGGTCAATGGAAAGAAAATTAAGTTTAATTGATTGGAATAGATAATTAGATGATGGTGATTAGCTAATTTTCTGATGATATGATTGTTGATGATCCGGAAGAATTTAATATTCTGGTTATTTCTTTCATGTAAAAGAAGAAAAGCAAAAAATTCGATTAACAGAAAAATTCAATTTAATTCGAAATGATCATGAATTTATTTTCTTTTTTTGGAACTTTTTTTTTCTTCTTCTTAATCATCATACTTAATATTTTCTATTGTTGATTAAAGTCAATTAACTTTGGAAAATTGTATTTATATCAAGTATTCCGATCTAATTTACTGTTAGTTAATTGTGATGATAATATTAAAGATGATGACTTGATTATCTTCATCAGATTTAATCTATTGCCCTTTTCATTGGGATTATTTATGAATTAAATGGTTAGGATAACCTTTCAGATGATTAGAATCAATTGCAATTTGAAATAAAAGTTAATCACAATCGATTGATTAACCATAAATTAATCAATGGAAATGTCAATAACAATTAATCGTCACCTTCAATGATTTATTAATTCAGCAATAAAATAACAGAAAAGTAATAACTATTAATGGTAACAATCAATTTCTAATGGTTAATTGTTGCTTTTTGTTTAATTAGTTGAAAGAAAGTTAAAGATATTAAATAAAAAAAAATTAGGTTAATCAAATCACCAATTAAGTTTTTCTAGACTTAATTATTAATCCTATCTTTCCCAATCAATTTCAAGTTGATTACAATTGTCTAATTGATTGGTTGATTGAATTCAATTAAAGTTTATTGTTGAATTACTTGATTAACTCTCATACTAAATCTCATCTTTAATCATGTTAACAACTAGCCAATTATTATATTAAATTAACTGTAAATCACACTCATAGATCATGTAGTTAATCAAGGTTATATTAGCTTGGAAAAACTTGATTCACTTGATTGAATTAATTGTCTTCAAGTTTCCATAACTAATCAGTTAATCCCAAGTCTTAATCCGTTATTTATGTAGTAATAACAATCTTATTAAATCATTTAAGTGCAAAACAAAAGTGTCTCAATTAATCCGTTTTTTTTACTATTACTAATTGATTAGGATGATTGAGTTAAGGAAAATCATTAATGTAGTAAATTGTATATTGTATTAATAAATTGTCATTCTAATTATGATCAAATTGTGATTAAATCACAATGAGAAATTTACAGATTAACGATAATCACACTATTATTATTATCGTTATAATGATTTTCTCATTGAATTGTAATCAAGGTTAACATGAAATTAATCATCAGATTATTGAGATAAACTGATCGATAAACAAATGAACTACCTTCAGATTAATTAATCTATCGAGATGATCAAAGCTTATCGATCATGAAACGATATGTGTACATGAATTCTGGTTGATATTGAGGTTAGAAAAACAAAAATCAATGGCGGTGGAAAATAATAAGAGAGAGAGAGAGAGGTAAAAATAAGAGTGGGCGAGGTAATGGTGGTGGGGTGGGAGTAAAGATCATACTGATCAGAAATGCATTTCCATGAAATGAACAATCTTGATGATGAAAAAAGTACGAAAAACAAATATTTTTACCTGTATAGTTGAATGATGATAACGAGGTAACAATGAATTGATCATGTTCACCATGTTATATTGAACTTTATCTAGAATCTCATCTGGAACTTTCATCTTCATTTGAGTCTTAATCATCAAATTTTCATCTCTATCTCACCATGATAACTTTTGCTTATCATTGCAGAAAAAATTGATTGTCACTTGGAATTACTGATCACTCACTTTCACTTTATTTTCCTCACCATGTTATCCTTATATGCATATGAATATTCAGATTCAGATCTCATGTTATTGTCATTGAATTGACAGATCATATAAATAGCATGAAACAATAATAATGGTAATGTAAAGACAATGTTTTCGTTCAATTTTTTTACTCTTTCTCTCTCTCGGTGTTTTTGTTTTCTAATCAACCAGAATCGTCATGAAATTTATGTTATCTCCTATTCTGAGCTATTGTCTGTTTGATGAGGTTTTTTACTTCTCGTCATTATGATGATCATCATCTCCTCGTGATCTTTCAGTTCCATTGGAATAGAATATTTAGTTTTTCCTCTCTCTCTCTCCTTATCATCTTCATCTTCTTACACTTTGACAATGACAATTGATTTAACCTTTGCCAAATAGCCTGTTGATTGATTCTCATGGGATCATGAAACTTGCTGAATAAAGTTTCAAGTTGTTATTATATGAATGAGGTTTTATCGTACATGATGATTGAGAGAGAGAGAGAAATTGGCAGAAAAATTGATGATAATAATACATTATCAGCATATTCACTCATCGTCATGACATTTTCATCCTGATGCTTGAATTTCAACCAGAATCAAGTTTGTTTGTTGATGAAAATAAACGTTTGCCTTATCATCCTCATCCTTTAATAGGTAAACATAAAAAGATTGATGATGAAGATGAAAGAAAGTAAAGATTAACCAGAGTGAGAAAGACATGGGAGAGAGAGAGAGATAGTGAATGGATTAACATGAAATAATCTGATGAAAATCAGGATAGATAAAAAAACGACGATTTCGTAACAATCAACTTGATTGTTCAGCATAATGTGAACAATTAGCAAACGATTTCCAACAGACTATCAAACTTTACTTTCTAATTATATTGTTGATGATAATAAATCAAGTAACATGATCACTAATCCAGAATTAAGATGTAGTTGGTTAGATATTGATTATTACAATGAGAGGAATCAATTATTGTCTTGAACAGTTACGATTAACTTGTAATGACAAATAATTGATTATTTACAATCAATGGAAACCTCATTGATACAATTCTTAATCTAATTGTTGCAAAATTTGAGACTAGAACCAAATTAGTCATGAAACTTTTTCGTTCCCAATGATTAACCATAATATTCATGTTCATGATTACCCATTACAATGAACAATTAACATTCAGCCAATTCGTAGCAATTAATCAACTGATAATCAAGAAATCAATTGTTTCTCTGTTATTATTTCAAGTCAACATTTTTTTTAAAAAAAAAAGTTTTCATTCCAATCAATTGATTAACTTAATTGTGATGATGTAGCAGAAACAAAAAAATAACACAACCAATTAATTCAAACCACAGAAAAATGAGGAAAAAAATTATAAGAAAAGATAAATAATCAAAACAATTAGAATCACAATTAAAGAGCAGAAATGATAACCTCCACTAATAAGAAAACAATGATGGAAAAACAAATGATTGGATTAACGGTAAATCACTACGAAGATAAGATTATCCTTTAAGATGAAGTTGAGATGATCCATCTAAAGGTCATCATCTTCATCCATTCTTATCATCTCACCCTTTCTTTTTCTCTGTCTATTTATGACTTTCGACATTTTTCTCCATCTCTCTCTCTCTCTCTCTCTCTCTTCCACTCTATCAACAAATCGGACGATTGGTAAATATTATTACCAATGTTATCTTTTAATTTAAATAGTAACCATATCAACGCATGATCAAGTTCATGCATCATCTTCATCATCTTCATCATCTCATCATGATCATAATTCTGATCATCATTTGTAATCATCATCATGTTATGGTTAAAGAATGAATTTCAATCATGAATTACATGCATGTTGAAATTTCTGTGCTCATTTCACCAACAATAATAAGTTAGAAACTTAATTTTTACTTTTATTCTGTTTTTAATTTCATAACCATCTCAGTGAATTAATCAATTGAATTGTGTTAATTGTTAAACTTTAATTGTTGAATAATAATAAGTTAACTATTTTTTTTCCTCAAGTATTAATTGATCTATTTGATATTCTGTCATTTAAACAGGTAACTATTGGCTCCATGGACATTGAAAATCAACTTAATCACAAACAATTTGATCAATTTAACAATCAACAATCAACAATATTACTACATGATTATCCTTAATTACTCCTGTAATTTAGTAATGAATATAAACAAAATTATCTCCTGATTTAAATATATTTTTTTCCAGTCAATTTTAAATCACATTATCAAGTTAATTTACCAACTGTGATATTTAACTAACCAAATTTACAAGTTATATTAGTTAATTACAATTAAGAAAATCATACAATATAACTTTCATCATCATCTTAACATCAAGGCAACACAACAACAACAACAACAATTAAATACTAATTACAATAAGGTAAGTTACCAATTACATTGAAATAGTGTAATACCAATTACAATTAACTATCTAAAATTAAATTGTTTACCTTGTTAATTGTTTGATTACGTTTGGTAACAATTGATTAAGATACCAAATTTAAAAAAGACACAATTGATTTTTGAACAACAAACAACAAAAAAAACCCAACATGATGATGATGATGATTTCAAATTGTTCATTGATTGTTAACCCTCATCAATCATAATCAAACCTGAAAACATTATTATCATCATGAAGAAAACAATCAATGTAAACAATATAAATTCAATTGATTGTTGCAGTAGTTTCAATCCAAGATGATTAAGTAGATAGAAAATTAATTGTCCATTTTGATTGAGTTTAACTTTTTCTCTTCACATTTTGATTAATTGATTCAGATTTATATGTTCATGGGATTCAACAGTATTGAGAGTCATCATCATTTTGACCGTAACAACAGTCATCATCATCATCATCATCATCATCGTCATCATCAACAACAACATCATAATTATCACCAATTGATTTCGTTACTTTCTAATCAATCAACTGTAAACGTCCCAACGATTCTTGATAATTATCGTTACCACCCAATAAACATTACCAACTTTAAACGTGATAATAGATTTATCAAAATCACTCTAATTATAATAATCACTATTAATAATCAAATTAATTCTCAAGTGATTAGAAGGATAATCTTAAACCTAGATGAGCTCAAAGCTTTCAAGCCTCGAAACAACCATAACCCTTTGTCTTAGTTTAATGATAATCGTCACAATAATTGGTAACATACTTGTCTGTTTATCTGTGGTTCTAGTCCGTAAACTAAGGTCACCTTCAAATTACCTATTGGTTAGCCTTGCCATCTCTGACCTTTGTGTTGCCATACTGGTTATGCCTTTAGCACTTAACCTGGAGGTAAAAGGTTATTGGGATCTTGGTCCAACTTTATGTGACATGTGGGTCTCATTTGATGTAACCTCTTGTACCGCCTCAATCTTGAATCTTTGTATGATTTCAGTTGACCGATACTTAACCATAACCAAACCTTTAACCTATGGTGTTAAACGAACCACCAAACGTATGACCGCTTTCATTGCCATTGTTTGGGTCTCTTCGTGCCTCATCAGTGTCCCTCCTCTTCTGGTTCTAGGTAATGAACATGGACCCGATGATAAGCCAACCTGTCAGGTATCTCAACAAATTGTCTACCAATTATATGCCACCTTAGGAGCTTTTTACATTCCCCTTGGAGTTATGATAATACTTTACTATAAAATCTATGGTGCAGCAAAATCAGTCGTCGATGCTGAACTGCGTTCATTAGGTCACACCACCGATCGCTTAGTTAATAATAATAATAACAACAATAATATCAATCTCAATTCAACCTCATCACATTCCCACTCCACAAATATGATGTACCATCAACAGCAGCAACAACAACAACAACATCAACCTCATTCACGTTATTTTCCTGTAATTAAACCACTATTAAAATCAACAATAACAACTTGCAATAAACAACAATATGATAAACCATCAAGTGCATCAGTTAATTATGATTTTCATCAGCAATCTGAATCAACATTGAGTGATAGTGAATGTCAACATGGTAATAAGATTGATCATTCATTAATATATCATCAACAACAACAAACAAGAGACTCTGGTGCTGAGTGTTTCAATGAAATTGATAAATCATCAACAATTACAACTAAATCATCACCAACATTAACAGTAGCAACAACAACAACAACCCCACCACCGCCACCACCACCAACAACAACATTACCAACACCTCGCAATGGTTTAATTAATTGTAAAGATACAATAACAATTAATGAAACAACCATAAGTGATACAGCACCAAAATTAAGCTCTTATCATAATAATAATAATAATAATAATAATTCAATTAGTAACAATAATAATAACAACAATAGTTTCAATGTTAATAATAATAATAATTCAACCAATTCTGACAATAATTTTCATTCATCATTACTTTCATCATATAAACGGGTAAAAGAGTCAATGTTATCCTCAACTAAATCGCACCATAGATCAACACTTAGCACTTCATCACCTCCGACACCAACTCAGAATAAGTATCATTCATGTATAATTCAATCACATGGTAGTCCAATTAATTGTAACAATTCTAGTTGCATGTCAACAACAAATTCAAATACTTTTTGCTCAACTTTTGGTGGTGTACGAAAATCGTTGGGCGATCGTTTGTCCTTCCATGCAGCGTTGAGTTCGGGCACCGATAAGAGGCGAACCTCATCAATGCTTAAAGAAAGGAAAGCATCGATTACCCTTGGGGTCATAATGACCGCTTTTACCGCTTGTTGGTTACCCTTTTTCATATTGGCCTTGCTTCGTCCCTTTTCAGAGACAGTTAATGCAATCCCTCATTGGATTAGTTCACTTTGTTATTGGCTTGGATTAACCAATTCAATGCTTAATCCGATAATCTATGTTACCTTTCATCATGATTTTCGGAAAGCATTTCGTTACTTATTGTGCCTACAATGTTCAACAATGGACTTTCGTTTACGTGAAAGAGCCTATCAAAGTCAATATGGAATCAACAATTCATCAGATAATCATCTTCACCATCTTCCCCATCATCAAGTTCATCATCAATTTCAACAGAATCAATATTATACTCATAACCATCATCATTCATCATCTTCATCACCTTCACCATTTCAACCAAGTCCACTTCCTATCCCATCCTCATCACCAAATCAACTCACCTCTTGCCAACCAGTGTCTCAATCAAATCAAATGGTTGGTGGTGGAGGTGGAGTGGGAACCGTAATCTCTTGTAATCTAAACCGTTCAGGTTCAAATGATGAGACCAGGAAGACATTGGCACTTAAAGAGAACCTAATTCCAGCCAATTATCATTCATCATCTTCATCACCATCATCCCCTCTTCTTCCTCACAATCAGCAACAATCATCTTCATTACAACCATTAACATCCAATATTGATGATAGATTTACATCTCAACAGGAACATCTATTATTATCCAAACATACACCTTTATGATAACAACCGATAAATATGAAAATGAAACAATAATCAAGAAGAAGATGTTAATAATTTTACTAATAATTACATCAAAATTAATATATAAATATAATTCCATCATCATCTTAACTTCCTCTCGCTTTCTCCTCAATCATCATGGTCCATCATCTGCATCTTCATCAATTCTACAACCCAAACATCTCTCTCTCTCTCTCTCACCTTTAACATCTCACAAACATGAAGACAAAACCACCAAACGAAAATATTATTTCATTAATGTCACTTTTTATTCTTAATGTATCAATGAATCGAAATGAAAAGTTCTGAACTTCTCAAGATATTATATTATGTGAAATACTATCCAAGTGAAAATCAACTGAATGTGAATAAAAAGAAGATAAAATCACTGTTATCGTTCATCTCTCTCTCTCTTTTCTTTCTTCATCTTCTTTTTAATTCTGATATTTTCTTCCTTTTCCTCTATTACCGTTCCATCCTCATCTCTCATGTGTTCTCATGAATCTGAGATGATGAAAAAGTAGCAAAAGAATAAAAAAAGATTCCATCTCATTATTATTCTCAATGATGATTCTTAGCATTCTCATTTTCCACTCCTCATGTTATCATCATCTCACCAACGATATGATCTCATATGATATGAACCTTCATCATTGTTGGACTTGTTAACATGACATTGAATAGTTTTCATGGAAAAACTTTTAAATATTAATAATATTTTTTTTCTTCATCTTCATCTTCATATTCACTTTTCTAATTTGAATGAACATTTTATTGGTAAACTTGAATGAATAATCTGATTGCTGATATACATCAACACCCTAAAGTCATGATGATGAGATGAATGATTAACACTCGATGATGAGGATAACCATCAAGTGATTTAATTGTAGATTAATACTCTAATTAACTTTCAAGTTGCTCCATGTAATCAACTTAATCTAAAGAGTCTGTTAATAGATTTACCAATTTAATTGTGACTTTTTGAGTGTTGATAATCAACGATATTCAGTTTAAAATAGATTTAAATTTAATTTGAAACATTTGATTGTTTATCTCTCACTCGTAATCGTGTAATTTAAATTAAATCAATTCCCTATCATGAAGATATAATAAATAGGAATCGGAAGTTATCAATGAACCATTCTCATCAATTCTGGAAATAGAATTGAAAAGTTAAAATTGTTATTTCCTTTTACATGGTAATGATTCACATTTCAAATGATTCCATTGAAATTGTTACAATAAAACTTTGATAAATTGTATATACAATTGTTCAGGTCTCAATGGGAATTGAGAAAGTTCATTCATCATGTTAGTATGAAAAATTCATATTCACAGTTTTCTAATCAACTTTGGATTAACTTATGAGTTGTAATAATTACTCCAAGTGTTGTTGGAACTTTTTTTCTTTCTGAACAATCGACAATCGTAAATATTACTCATTTCCTGCTTCGAGTATTCATTGAATCTTAAGACGATTCTGATCACGGAAATTTCCTCTCTCTTTTCATGGAAGAAGGTGAAAAAATAGAAACAAACGAAAATATTGTTACATGGAAATTGGTAAAGAATAATAAGACGAAAGAGAAAAGAAAATCGTTTTCGAAATTCTGATGAACTGAGATAATATTCTTTTAGCACATTGATTGTTGGAGTGGTTTTCTTTTCTCTCTCCTTCATATGTCATGATAATTGATTCTTATATAAAATGTTCAGCACGTTCTGGAATTTTTAATGAATCAAATTCAGATGAAAATAACATGAAAATATTATTATAAAATTAAGAGAGAGGATCAGAGTTAACAGAATGAGACAAAGTTAATGATCCATCAGCGAGTAAATCATTATCTTCAATCTTTATCATGAATTTCCTCCGGTTTCCTCCCCATCATTATCACCAGAATGCTGAAAATATTCAGAAACTTGTGAGTAAGTAAAAGTGTTGAATATATTCAAAGGTCTTTTTGGTTTCTTAGTTTTCTCTCCTAAACAATTTTCCCTGAGTATTAGAGACTCACTTTCATGGTGATCAATCATTAGAAAAGCTGAATGATGATAAAGATGAAGATAAAGATTAGGATGATGAGGATGAAGATGAAGATGAAAAAAAAAACAGTTAGTTACATGTAAAGTATTACTAATACTAGTATTTTTAATAGATTACAATTAGGTCTGAGTTAACTTTGGAAATATATATTAACCAGAATTAGGTTGAAGAGAGAGAGAGTAAAAATATTATAACATTTAACTTTCACTGAACTTTCATCCTTTCAGCATGAGAATCACCTTGTTAATCTCATCGGGGGAAAAGCTGAGCATTATCATCACCTAAATTCATTGATAAACTTGATCACAGTCAGGGTTCCCCTTGATTAATTACTAAGCTGGAATAAGCTAATTTGTTATTGGTCAGAAACAAATGAGGTTATATAAAGATTAATCCTTTTCTCACTGACTCTTTCTCTCTCACAATCAATGAATCCACCCAAATGAATGAATAATCACTCATATCAATCTTGTGAATTTCAATAGTAAAGTTAGAGAAGATCAGATCAGATTAGATGGAAAGACGAAGAAAAAATTAGAATAAAAACTTTTCAGTTCGAAAGTAATTTTAATGATCGCGTGAGGATCAACACTCAGTATTCATAAGAATTTCATGGAAAGAAAAAAGAAAAATTCAAATTCTATCATCTTTTTGTTCTCAGTATTTTCATGAACAATTTCGATGCCGAAAGATGAATAGGAAAACTGATTGAATGGTAACAGAGAGAGAAAGAAAGAAAGAAAGAAAGAAAGAGAGAGAGAGAGAGAAGAAAAAATATAATAATAATAACCGGAACTTGAATGAACATTCAATGTAAATATGTATACACGAAGATGAGATTGACTGATTATTGAAGCAAAGTAATATTTGAGTATTATTTTTGTATTTATGGTCCGATAATAATGATAATCATGATGAAAGTAATAAAAACATGATAATATTGACAAATAATCACATGTAATGCATTTTGAGGACAGAAAACAAAAGCAAATCCATTTGCGAAGCAACTTTGTTTTGGTTGTTTTTTTTTATTCCAATGTTACAATTTACCTCAAGTGAGAAGCTGTTAACAGTCAATTGTTATTATCTTGATTGTTCAAATCATAACATTGATTTTCATCTGATTTCCAGTTCGCAATAATCAACAGAATCTAATATTACATTGCTATTGGTTTCTCAGGCCTTCCCTTTGATTATAACGATGATGATTTCCAATCAATTTCAACTGCCAATTCCTAAATAACCGCTGATATTGTCAATCGATAAGTTAACTGAATAGTTGTTGTTGAATGATAAATGATCATCATATTAATCATTACTTTTTTCATTGTCTGATTAATGGTGATTTCATTTTACATTTGAATTTAATTTGATTGTTCTGTAGGTCCAATAAATCATTCACAATTATTGTTTCCATATTGTTAACCCATTGGGTTAACCTGATAAACGATGAAAACTTTTTTTTATTATTATTTCTCTCTATTTGATTCACAACAATTTAGAGTTAATTCAATTGGGATCATTTCTCTCTCTCTCTCTCTCTTTTCTTGCCTGATTTATTGGAAATTAGATTATCTTTTTGCTTTATATTTGCTCAAATTGACCATAACATTGGTGATGATAATGGTGATGACCAGTTACAGGCAATAGAGAAAAAAAGTAGATAAAAAAATAGTGCAATTTTTTTTTCTTCTTGTTCAATGTTAACCACTGAGGGAATGATTACAATGAAGCTAATTTAATTGTAGACCTAAATTGTGTATCACAATTATATTGATCTAAATATGATCAGTAAGAGTATTGGTCAAGCAAAGAAGAAGCAAAAAAAACCAACTGATTGGTCAACATTGATCCAAAATAGTGTTACAATGTCAATTGAATGTGATTTGTTTGATGGTCAAACATGATAGACATGTTGATGGTCATTGTGTTGTTATTAATATTAATAATAATAACTGATAACTTTGAAAGAGGATAAAATTGGCTCGACTTTTGGAAAGACTTGTTAACCTCTTGACCAGGTCAAACTGTTGGGTCAAGTCTCATTTCGCATGTTTAAGAGATTTCATCATTTCGACTGATGAAATACTTGCGAATGACCAATCATATTGATAATGTATTAATATATAAAACTCTTAACGATTTTATCATGAAAAGAAAATCTTATCATCAATGTGATTTGAATTATCAATTAGAGTAAAGTTTCCTAAGAGGAAATCAGTTGATAAAAACAGAGAGAGTGAGATTATATATCTAAGAGATATGATGATGACCAGTGGTCAAGAATAAGCTTGTTGATGATAAATTACATGAGAGAATCTGATCCTTCAAAGGAAAAGACAACAACTTTTTCCCTTGTTGTCCAGTCAAGTTGAAATTGTGTCCAGAAAGAAAATCTGATTTTCGCTTTGAGTAAAATTAATTATCTTCAAAGAGACTCGACAATCTTTCAGTGAAGTGAATCAATCGTTATATCCGATGACCAATATCACGATGATGACCATTCCTTTTACTGGTATTGGTAAATCAAATAGAAAATAATAATAATGATAAAAAATTACAATTCCTTTTGGATGGGCAAGAGAAACTCTGATTCCATGATAACCTGATTAACTGTATTGTTAACAATTAACTTGTTCAATTTGATACATATGTACATGGTATTAGTCTTAATTAGTAGTTGATCATATTAGATTTTTACTCTTTAACTTTGTCCACTGGCTATTCAATGGTCATTGTAATCAATTAATTATATACAGTTAATCAATATAGAGTTCACCATCATTATGCTAACTGTAGTTAAGGAAGCAGATTCCGAAAGGGGAGAAAACTGAAATAATGATAACTTCCTCTCTGAATAGACTTAATCATGATGATAATAATGTTCCAAATGAAAGTTTCCTAATGAAACATGATAATATAATGAATTGGATTGACTACCAGTTAATAATGAAGAAAAAAAAAGTCTCAGCTAATTATGATGAGCTCTAAAAAAACTAAAAGAGAAGATCAATTGTTGAGTTGAATGAATGGTCAAGCAATGGAAATGATTATGATGACCATCATGATCTTAACTCCATGGTCTTGACATTGTTAATAGCTAATTCTCATTGGGAACTTTGAAAGAGTAACAATCATTGGGCTCATTAGATAAACTAAATTCAAACCAATTTCCTCATTAATCTTTAGGTTCACCACAAATATTAGGTATCCAAGTAAATAATGATACGATTTTTTGTCGCATTTTCAGATTGATTTTGAAAAATTAATAATTATAATAGAAATTAATTGATAGTACCATCTTGTAGAGAAAAAAATAAGCTTTCTAATGGTGTAAAATTTATTTTAATA